GATGACGTCACCGCGCGGCGCTCGCCGATGGCGTCACTGCGCGGCTCCGCCTCGTCCCGGGCCGGCAGTGACCGCCAGGGGGCGCCCGAGAGCCGCCTCAGAGCCCTCAGAGCTGTGGGATGGCCCCCGGCAGCCTTCAGAGCTCTCAAAGCCCCGGGATCCCCGCAGGAGCCCCTCAGACCCCTGGGACCCCTCAGAGCCCTCAGACTTCTCGGGCTCCCTGAGGTGCCTTGGAGTTCCCAGACCCCTGGGGTGCCTCAGATCCCTCAGACCTCCTAGAACCCCCGAGGGCATCTCAGACTCTCGGGGCCTCTTAGAGCTCTCAGACGCTCACGACCCTCTGAGATGCCCTGAGGCAGCTCAGTCCTTCCCAGACCCCTCAGACATCCAGGCTTCCCTGAGGTACCTTGGATCCCTCACAACCCTGCGGTGCCTCAGACTCCTCAGATCTTCCAGGACCCTCCAGGACTCCTCTGAACCCACGGGGACCCCCTGGGCTCCCCCGGACCCTTCGGCCCACCGAAACAACAGAGACGTGCCTTTGGGCCAGTGAGGCGTTCTCTCAGGTAGGCCCGAGTCTGCAAACCTCAGTGAGAGAGGCCAGGAATGCACCTGTCCAGCCTAACAACACCGAGGGCTATCATTCCCTGTGGGAATTGCAATTGCACTGCGTGAGAGCAATCTCTGGTTAATTGAGATCATGATTACCAGCATTTTGAGGGTTTCTCTGTGTACTCTAAGAAGTACAAAAAAAGTCTTAGTAGTGAGGAAGACTCTTCCAAAAGTTTGCATTGACTCAGTAAGAAAAGTTGTATGTTGTGTACCAGCTGCTTTTAATACTTTTTTTTGGCTAAAAGAAAAAGAAAAAGAAAAAAATAAGTAGTGGGGGGAATGGAGAAAAGCAGCAATTGCCTGGGTATAATAAGATTTTTGGTTTAAAAGTTGCAGACAAGTGTGCCCCAGGGTAATCCTCCTGGTTCACTTGGCCCTCCCTGCCAGTACTGTGCCAGGAAGGCCCCTGCAAAGGTTTTTGGTCTCATTAAACCAAACGGCTTGAGGAGTGTGTGGGGTTTTTCCATGGCAGAGATGTGTGATGTGAAGTAAAAGATGGGGATGATGGGAGTTGAAAATCCACACTGACAGTCAAGGCCAGGTGTTCAACAGAACCAGCTGCGCTGCGTGACCCCCAGATTTGTGCTACACCATTCGGTTCCCCAAATGAAGTTGGATTTGGTCAGCAGCAGCCCTTGATTATTTGTCTCAATCAATCATAAACTGAGATTTCTTCCTGTTAGATGTCCTTCGAGTGCTGTTGCTGCTGGCCCTGCACACCTGCTGGTAGCTCCTCCTCCCTCCTGCTCAGGAGTTTCTCAGGCCCTGGAGTTTCTCAGAGGAATCCTGTTCACAATGATAACTGAGCAGGCTTAGCTTTAAGTTGCTGGTTGTGTTTCAACTTCCCGGGATGTATTTGGAGCCTGACCCAGAATGGTTCGTTTCTGTTTTACTTGGTTTCTGTTTTCTGTTCCATACTGCTTCTCTGGTTCAGGATTCCCCATTCACCCAAGCTTGCTACTAATGGAGTTAGTAAGACTGATTTAGGAAAGAAGCACAGAGAAAACACTTTGTGCAGGGAGATCCTCAGCCGCAGCTGTTGTGGCAGGAGGAGAGAGCCCCAGATCTCAGTGAGGTGGGGGGAGAACTGTGTGCACTCCTGCCAGCTCTGCTGACAGACCCAGAGATGTCTTCTTTGCTCCAGTGTCAAACCACTTTCTTCAGGCCAAAGGGTGATCAGAAAGTTGACACCGAGTTAAAAACCTTAATTAATCTTAATCGTCCATTGTCTCATTAGTTTATTGAGAACATTATACCTGCAAAAAGCGCTTTGGTTCTAAGCCCGGTGCAATTTAAATGAACTCCCAAGTGCTTCAAGGGGTTCAATCAGAAGAAATCGGCGATGACAGCACTTTTTTTTTTTTCTCCCTCCTAAAGAAGCTTTAATTGGCTGTTAAGTTAGAGCTTTGAAGCTTTGATAGGAGGAGTGTTGTAGGTTAAATTAATAGGGAAAATTGAGAAACAATTAGGGCAGCTTTAAATTAATTACTTACACTATTTATTTTGAGCTTATTGAACAATTGTGTTGTATGTGTAAGGGATTGAAATTAGCCATCTGTGCGAGGTAGCTTTGACCTAAATTGACCTTCCTGGGTAAGTAAATAGCTTGCCCTAATTCCTACACTGGATCTGGAATTTTAACTGGCAGATAAGATTAATTGGGAGGAAAGATGAATGCGCTTGAGAGGTTCCATGGTTTCCTGTTGGGACTGGAGTCAGCTGTGCAGACAGAGGTAGGGAAGGCTTTCAGAGAGGTGCCTGAGGAGGTCACCCAGGAGCCGAAGTGTCCCTGCGCGCCCGGGCCGCCTGCTGAGGAGCACATGGAGAGCTGGCAGCTCAGGGGGCAGCTCAGGGGGCAGCTGCAGTGCCCAGGGCGGAGGAGTGGCCGGCGCCCCCGGCAAGGAGCCGTGACCTGACCCTGGCCAAGGGCTCGGGGCTCCGCGGCTCCGGACCGGAGAACGTAGGGAACAAGAGGGGTGGGGCTCTGCCACTGGAAACCTAGAGCCGAGCCGCTAAGGAAAGCTGGTTGGACTGTGTGAGATCCCAGGATCTGTTTGCGCCCTGCTCCGTTTATGCTCTGGTCTTCCAGGCAGCAACCCTGGCGGCAGAACAATGATCCCAGCCAGATATGTCGAATGTTGATAGCAGAATGTGAGCAGTCCCCAAAGTGGTTCAATTTTAAACCCGAAAGGGTGGAAATAATCTCGGTGCTGATTTTTGAGGCACTGGAACTGTTTTTTCCGTCCCTGCTTTCCCTGTGTGTAGCCGGCCGGTCCCGGGGGTGGCTGAGCCTCCTCCCGCTCCTGCCCAGCTCGCCCTGCAGGTGTCAGCCTCGCTCCACGCCACCGCCCGTCCTGCCGCCGCACCTGGCCTGCCTCCTCATCCTCACTCCGTACACTTCGGGGCTCACCCCGCTGCGGGCCACTAGCAGTGCGCATCGGGTGCTGCTGGTCTTCCTAAAATTGCCGTGGCTCCCAGTGTGGTCCTCTTCTGAAGTGCCCGGAAAAATGTCCCCTCCGAGTTTTGTTCGGGGGCTTTCCACGTTTCAAGTAAGGAAATGGGAGGTGCTCTGGGACTCCTTTCCCCGCTGTTGGAATCCGCTGCTCTGGGAGAATTCAGCTTGCTCTGAGTTTTCCAGAAAAGACAGATTAGTGCCCAGGGATTAAACGTTTTGTCAGGCTGCCTTAGTTAGGAGAATGCACCTGGGAGTGTTGGTGGAAGGCACTGCATGTCTTCCTCTGCATTGTGCCTACAGCAGTGCTGGTGGATAGCTCAGGGGTTTTTTGCCTGTGATAAACACAATTATGTTTTCCCTGGGGACAGGAAGCAGAAGGGATGTATTGGAATGCTGTGTGCAGCAATTTGGCAAAACTTGTGGATGAAGTAGAGGCGCTGTTTTATGGCCACAGAGACCTGTAGGTGTTCTTGTGCGTGGAGTGTCCATGAGCACCGGGCCATTGTGACATCGGGAGGGGGGATATTAAAGCCCCTTTTCGTGTACAACACAGGAGTCCTGTCTCCAGCTCTTGGAAGCAGCCATAGCAGCTGTGCAATGGATTCCTGGATGTTGGTATGCAGTGGAGTCACATGTAGGAAGCTAAGACTTGTATCCTTGTAGGAGTCAAAGAAGCTTTGAAAGAGAAAGTGTGTGTGTGTGTGTGCGCGTGCAAGAATAGAAATCCCAGGATAGCCCTGATCCACCAATTCCCTTCATGACAGACCATCAGGAATGCGAGCATCTTGTGTTCATTAATGACTTTAATGCCAAGAAAGCTTGATTTCAAGATCCACTTCCCTGAAGGACTTCTCCCACTGTCCCCACGAGGAGGAATTGTGTGGCCAAGCTCTCTGTGGTTTCCTGCAGCTCCTTGGTTTAGCACTGGGCAGCTTCCAGGAGTGCCGCAGCCAGACCTGCTGGCATCTGTGTGGGGGCTCGGCTCTCTGTCCTCTCCCCATGGAGAGATGCTGTGTGATGTGTGCACTGAAGTGACTTGGTTTGGTAGGGCTCTTCCTAGCTTTCTTTTTTTTCCCCCCTCCATTTTTTTCAGGGGCTGTTTTTGTTTTTTGAATCAATCCCTTTGGCTTTCAGCTCCGGCTTCTGAATCTCAGCATCTGTCAGTGGTGCAATAAATTCTCTTTGGTGATAAGAGAACAGCTGCCAATAGCAAGAGCAGGGATGGCATTTGGGTTTTTCCCTGCTGTGTGAGCCCTTGCAGTCAGCAGAACCACCCTGTGCACACAGTGGAGAAGGCACCTCTCCTGCCCAGCCCACTGCTCCGCTGCCAAGTGAACAACCTCTTGTCCCCCCACGTTAAGCAGATGCACACTTAACCGAGTCCTGAACGGAAAGAACCAGAAGGAATTGACAAATGGCTTTTGTCTGGATATGTTCTGATGATGGAAGTGGTATGGGGACAAGAAAGAAATTTTTTTGGGGAACTTTAGGGATTTTTAGGGAAAGAGAGAAACTGCTTTGGAAAGATTCATAATCATGTGGGTGGTGTTTCCTAGCACAACAGTCTGCTTCCAGTGAAATTGGTAGAGGAAAAGAAATTGGTGGAGGAAAAAGTCCTTTCTGTGGAGTTGTGAATTTTAGGTCCAAGATTTGGGGTTTTTGTTTTTCATATTTAAAGGTCTCTTAGGCTCTGGCCTGCCTAAAAAAAATCATCACACCTGGAATTCATGCCACAAGAGAAGGCATTTTGAGACCAATTATTTTGACTAGAGATGTTTTGTTTCTCTAGTTGGGGTAAGTTTAGTTGATGCATTCATAATGAAGGTGAGACTCCAGGAATTTGGACAACTTTGGTCCATAAGATAATTTTGGAGAAGTACGTCAAGAAAGAACCAGTTCCTGTGGAAGTCCAAGACTCCTCTCACCTGGCTGGGGTCTGACAACAAATTTACTAAAGGGGATTGTGTTTCTAAGGCACTTAAAAGTCCAACCAGCCTTTCTGTAAAGTCATCCTGTGGGTTTTGCCATAAAGCCTTCCTGGTGCTCATGGATAGCTCCAGGTATTTGAATGTTGTTGAAAGTAGGATCACAGACACACATTCTCATTTGGTTCTGATGAGGATTTCTATGCTGAAATCAACCAGGCCTTTTCCAAAACTCCTTCCAAACTTTCAGTGTGCTTTTTAATCTGATCTATGAAGCACTGCTTTAATTGCAAACGAGGTCTGGGTATTGGCATTTGGGATGATCTCACTGCACTTCCTTTTGGCTTGCTTTTTCGTCATCTGCCAAGATGAACACATGCAAATCGTGTTTTTCTCCTGTCTGTTGCTGAATGCCACAATCTCTGCTAAGTAGCAGTGGTGTCATTTGAGAACTGGTGATATCAAAATGAAGGTTTGATTTTGCCTCCAAAAATGCTCCAGAAAGATCCAGGAAATGGGGAGGAAATTACTGTTTTGTTCAGCTCATGTTCAGCCATGGATATTGTCACCTGAC